GTGTGTGTGTGTGTGTGTGCCATCTTGCCTGTTTCCACTTTTTTAAACGATATTCTGCAGAAAACCATCAGAGCCACAGAAACCAGGAAGACGGTGATGGTCAGACTGAGCAGCATCAACACAAAACCTGCATCAGAAACAGGAAGTCATTCGGTGGATAAAGCTGCTCTTACAAAACAATACAGTTTCTACATCATCTTTATACATATTATTTTTTGTGTTCAAACGGGAACATTGTGTGATAAATAATAAAACAATTAAAACAGACTGTTTAGTTTTCTTGGTTTGATTTTCCGTCTGTTTTATTTGGAAGTTTTCTAATCTTTCACAGATGAAACGATTTTTCTTTCTAAATTAATTTTGAGTTTTTCTTCATTTCTGTAACAGTCCATCTGCGTCATTTACAGCTCCTGTGATTTCTTCCTCTGCCTGTTTTTCCTGTTTTCTTTCATTCTGCTGCTCAGATCTCAGTTAGCAGAACCTCCATCTCTGAACGACTGAAGTCTTCTTCTATGTTCAGTTTCTGTGAATAAACAAGCTTGGGACTTCTCCTTATATAACATTATCGGGGCGGTAATTATGCAGATTAACGTTTCTCAGGAACGCAGCTAATTTAAACACTTCAGCAGGTTTACATTTAGGATCATTTAATCTGGTGTGGAGCGCAGCTAAAAGACCACAGCAGGAGAAAAGAAAGAGAAATTATGAAATAAAACAGCAAAATGTTGAAGCCTGAGACCAAATGTGTCTCAATAAAGGTGTTTTTTCCTGCTACGCTCTAAGCTACAGATTATCTGGTGTCTGGAAATCAAGAAATGTTGACAGAAAGAAATGATTCATTTTAAAGGGCAATTTAATATCACACAAGTTCATCATCAGTCTACATAAAAAAAATATATATATTATAATTATATAACAGCCTTACTGTGGTTGGGTTCATTGTCAGATGCCGACTGGATCTCCCTTCTTAGACCGGAAGTTTCTGAGGAAACTGAAGATGTGAAACTTCCTAAACTGGAGCTTAAATTCAGAGAGGTTGTCTGAGTGGAGGTTGATGGATCAGCCGCTTAAAAAAAAATAAAACACAAGCTGGATTTAGAGCTGATTTAGGAACCACAGGAAGACTAGATTAAACCTGAAAGTAAACATTGGAAGCAGCAAATAAAGGAGTTTAACTCTGGATATGTGAAACATTATGTTTAGTTTCACTGCATGAGTTAAAATATAAACAGATCTAGTTTATTTGTCTTTTTGTTCAGATAAAGCAAAGGCATCGTGATCTGATGTCAAACCATCCAATTGTTGTAAACTGAAAAACTTAAAGTTACAGTTTGAGTTTTATCATGTAAACATCCGCAGTTTGATGCATATTAAACCCATTTTTCACAGAAAAAGGGAAAAAGGAAATGTTCCTAAATTCCTATCTTACATGCGTAGCTCCCTGATGTTTGGCGCTGCTTAAAAAGACAAACTAATAATAGATGTTTCAGAGATATTTTTAAAAACGTACCTTTGGTGACAGTGATGCTGAAGTCTATGTATAAATCTGGGCGGATCATTCTGTCTATCTTACATCTATAGTGTCCGGAGTCAGACTGGATCAGCGGCTTGATGGTCACCAGAAGAACGCTGGACTTTTTCTTTGCTTCATATTCTACCTTATATCTGCCTGTTTCTGCTCCACCTGCCTGAACCAGAACGTCTTCTCCTTCAGCTCCTCGTCTGATGAGCTGCCATTTGTTGTCAGAGCCTTTAAAGGAACAGGCGACTGTGAGCGAGCTGCCAGGTTCCTTATAGAGGTGGTGATCAGCGTTCCCATCCAGGAGGGCTATAGAGAAAACATCTTGGAATGAGACAGCAGATCACAATAATCCCTGTTCCTATGTGGAGATTTTCCGTTTGGACTTCTTTTACTTTTTGAAGAAACTTTGCTGCTGATCCAGAAGCTTCTTCAGTTCTTCTCCAGGTTGGAAGCAGTAGCGGCATCAGCTAACCAACTAGCTTTGCTAACCCCGGTTCCTCCAAAAGGTTAATATCCTGTACTTATATAGCTCTATTTACAGTTAGAGGACTTT